CCAGTTGGGATTTCCCCTCAGAAACCAAGCGCGGTAAGTAAATATTGGCATAACTTTGCTTTCTCTTCAGTATAGAATACAGAATCAAAAAGAGCAAGCAGAGGGCAACATTGATTCCCACTGAAGTTAAAAGCGCAGATAGAATCATTCCTCCAGAATCTCAAAAAACCTCTTAAAGTTCTAAACTTCCACAAGTACCATCAACTCAAATGTCCATTCGGAGGAAAAACCGACTTTCAAAATTAATAATACAATCAAGCATCAGCTGCAAAAAAATATTAAAACTAGCATCAAAAGCATAAAAAAATCCATAAAAAATTAGAAAGAAAATATAAAGTTGCTCGGTCCATAAATTAAAAAGAGAAAGAGAGACTAAAAAATCAGCAATATCAGTATGCTTTCCTTCTTCAGTATTCTCGGGTGGCTTTCATATCCAACCCAGCAATTCTCATAGAATATATAAAACACGTATTATTACCACCGCCAAATTAGTCAAAACTTGGGTTTCGTGAAATCAAAGAAAAAATTAACAATAAAAAATGCGGCAGTACATATCACCAGAGATGTAACACAAATAAACTATCAGTATTACTTTGCGGGAAGAGGAATTAAGATTTAAAACACTAACTGAAGAAAAATAATTTGTGGAAAATTGAATTAAACCTTGGCCAAGACGATAAAGTAGCAGTTGATCGTTACACTCTCTGTTATTGTTCACATTGGATTCGCTCCTGAACGTGGAATCTCGCTGTCTTGAGGAAGTCGTTTGTTTCCAAGCTTGAATAGGGAAATTGTCGCACTTTTGGATCTTGAAATGATCTCTTCATTTTAAACCAAAAGCGTGGAATTGGAGTTTCACGTACCCACGCAAAGGTTGGTAAGATAATTCTGCGAATTAGTACATGTCTGAGGAGCAGTGGTAAGGCATTGGACAACGAAATTTGGGGATAATAATGAATAATTTCATTGAGTTCTATATATTGTAAATAAAAAATATATTTAATAAATTTATAATATAAAATGATCAATTTTCGAACGCACACTTAATTACCGATCCATCATTTTAATGGCACGTTAGGATGTCATAATTTTAGAAATGCGAGGCTCAAACGAAGAAAGGCTTGAGGTGGATACTTAGGTATTTAGAGACGAGGAATGATGTGTGGATTCTTTTCTTCCTTTTCTCACGGTACTACTTTGCTATCGATCACTCAAGATTATTTGTCTTGCAAGGTAATCTTTGCTAATTCACGTGGGATTCCACGTGCTCTATACTACTCTTGTCAGAATTTTCGCCATCTATGGTGCAATGTTTGTGTTGTTTCGCCTAACCGCACGATGCTTGTATTGCTCTCCTACAATTCTATTTTCACAATTTAGGCTGCTCCCATTTTGTTCGTTGTTACTATGGGAATTGCTTTTACTTTCTCTTTCTCTGGCTATTAAGATGTTTCAGTTCGTCAAGTTATCTCTTGTTTGTCTATGAATTCAACGACAGTTCGAAAGATTTATTGAGAACTTTTCGAAATGCATTATAATACATTTTTCATACTTTAGTACATCGCTCCTTCCAAAACTTATAATTTGATCAAACTTAATTGTGTTTTATTGGCCTCGTAATTTTTATCAATGCATGTGAGAATCATACCCACTACATTTAACTGATTAACTATTTTCAATCAATTGAGAGGAGAGGATATAAAGGTGCTCATACCAATAAGAATGGATAAACTGCACCAATTACGCTTGAGGTAGTTGACATTAAATTCACGTGCCAACAAACTACTTAATGTTAACCATTTTGCATAATATTTATTTTATTTAGCCAAGTTCGGAAAAAATGAAATTTTTTTGAAAAATTAGGTTTGAGTTCCCAATCTTACCAGTTAGTGTGGATGTAAGGGTATTTTTGATTGTAAAGATGAAATTTGAATGGAAAGAAAACGAATTCCAGAAAATTGAATTGTCTGAAAATTGTTTTCTTGGGAATTGTCAATTTATGGTATTTAATTGGTATAATTTTTCACGTAAAAAATGTTGAAATAAAAGTGTATTTTAATATTCATTTGGCTTTATTTTATATGAAAATTATCAATTAAAGATGTAAAATTTACTGGTATTGGTCATAGAATTTGTTTTTATTGCAAAAAAAAAAAGTCAAGAAAACCAAAATTCATCTATCTTTTCGTATTCGTTTGGCTTTGTTTTAAATGAGAATTGTCACTGAAAGGGACATAATTTATTACAATAATTCTTAAAATTTGTTAAATTGCAAAATAAAAATAATAATAAAAAACGTGAAAAAGGTGGAATTTCAATTCCACCATTTGGTGGAATTGGCTGATGTGGCAAGCCAAGATGAAAAATCAATTCCATTATAAATTATTCCAATCAAACAACAAAAAATTGGAAAGATAGGATTTCAATTCCATTTTCCTTGGAATTCCATACCTATCAAACGGTGCCTAAGTAACATACCCAACCTACATCCTTGCTTGATTCCGATTAAAATTTAGATTTTAATTTAAGTCAAATTAATAATTCATTTTAACCACATATTTTATGAGTCTCCGAACTTTTCAACCACGTGTTTCACCATCTTCTATAAAATGTTACCAAAAATATGATTTTAATATCCACTAAACAGGACTTTGTGACTTTGAGCTCCCACATAATAAAAACCGTTCATTTTACGAAGATGAGTTGTTCGTATTGAAAAATAAAATGTATAAAATGAAAATAGACGAATAATGACAATTCGAAGAAACTTGGACCTTCTGATATTGTTATTCGAGGAATCGATAAGCCTCCCAAAGTTTACAGAATAATTCAATCCACACTTATAATTAGACGAGAAACATAAGTTTAAATACAAAAGAATCAACCATTCTCCATCTATTAACCACATACATTAACTTTCATGAGAGACTGGTATAATGAAAACAGATACAATTGCATAAGAACTTCTCATCACTTATTCAAAGTGCCAGAAAATAAAGTATAGATTGAAGAAAACTAAAGTATAAAACTATGAAAAAGGCTAATTGTATTGTATAGTTATAGCCCTTGCACAAAATGTGGGGCCTCTGATCAGGAGCGGACGCAGAAATTTTTAATTAGGAGGCACAATTAAATTTTGTACAAATCGAATACTTTGTTCATGATTTTTAAATTATTTATACTCGATTAGAAAAAATGCATATTTACATTTAAAAAACATTTTTCATTAATATTTTACTAATCATTTTCATTCATTTAGGCTATGTTTGAGCCACATTTAAAAAAAATACATTCTTAAATAGTGATTTGATATAATTTTCACCACATTCTTCAATAAAATAATATTATACGCAAATCAAAAAACCTTTCTTTATTTTTTAACCATACATCTTCCGTTAATACACTATTCAAAATTGCATTCTTGGGAATATGATGTGGTTCAAACAAGGGTTTAATTTCAGACAGACATTTTATTAATATTTTGCTTATCACAAGAAAATGCATATTTATGTTTAAAAAATTTATAGTGTATTTAATACTAACAATCAATTCAAGTGATAGAAAGAAAAAATATATAACCAATATTCAATAAATGAATATAATTCATTAAATATAAGTTAAATTGGATCAGTTTTAGACACATTCTATGTATACTAATAGGATATGAGAAAATGCAAATTTAGGTTTGTAAAAAAAATTTATAGACAAACTTTTTAAAAAAAATAAAAATTAGAATGGTTAAAGATTTGATAAAAGGTGTGAGGGCACATGTAAGATAGTAAGAGAAAAGAGAAAAAAATTTGTCCCTGTTTGATGGAGGTTAAAATCAGATTTTTAATATATTTTGATAAAAATTTCATGAAATATGTTATTAAAATTAATTATTAATTTTAATTTAAATTAAAATTTAGATTTTGATCGATACCAAACAAAATTTATAAAAAAAAAATGAAAAAAATGAAACTCAAAATTTGGGGGCTCACGTGACCCCGAAGACCCCTTGGGTCCGCCCATGCCTGCGATAAAAATAGTTGCAGTGAAAGTATCTGTAGCAGCCTTGTAAAACTATAGAATCGTAATAAATTGGATTGTTGTTTCCACTTTCCTGTTATGAATCCAATGTGTATTGGGTGGTTACATCATACCGGTAAGAAGACTGCTTTTACTGGTTTCCAGTGATGGTTGAATGTTTCTTTAGGGATAGCTTGTTTCCTTTTTTTATAATTTTAATTTACTTTAAAGTAAGAATATAAACGTCTTTTCAATAAAAATGACCTTAAAATTGAGAAGTTTTCGTTACACCGAGACTCAGAGTAAAAGAGCTATATAAGTTAAGGATCCGAAACCTCACTTTCAATGGTTGAAAAGGCACGTGCACGTTAGTTGAAAAATATCAGGAAGTCTAATCTTAATTTTTTTCAAAATATTTAGATAAAAAAATATAAAATTATGAAAAGTCAAAAATCCCATCTCCATTTGCTCCGTTACCTAGAACCAAAGTAGCGAGATTAAAATAGGTTGAGAATTTAGAACTTCCCTTTCAAAATAGACATGCAAGTTAAATGACAAATTAGGAAGTCAGACCTAAGTTTTTTTCAAAATATTTAGACGCATACGGCGTATCCAACACATTATCAACACCCATAAGACACAACCCACCTCCACTCCGCGTAAGAAATATCAATTTTACTAACAGAAAGATCCCACGTAAATATTTATTATTTAACCCTAGAAATTAAATTTCAAATTTTAATTTAAATTAAAGTACACAATTTATTTTAATCACACATTAATAATCATAACATTATTCTATATTTTATCATTTTAGGCGCACTAACTCCGTCAATCAACAATTATTATTAATCATTTCAGGCGCACTCACCTCGATCAAGAAACAATTATTATTAATTACATCCACCTGTCTATAAAATTGAAGGGCATTCTCGTAAAATCAAAACTCAAATAATCCAGTGCAGACGCTACAAATAAATACTCAAATCATAAATCAACACTAAACGCCACGAGATCAAGAAACACTAATCAATCAATCAAAAATGTCGTACTTTCCCAAGGGACACCGCGACTCCGGCGATGATGTTGACGACTTCGATGAGTTCGATCCCACGCCATATGGTGGAGGATACAACATTGAATTGACTTACGGCCGCGCACTTCCGCCGTCGGAGGAGACATGCTATCCCAGTACCTCTGGCTCCGACGAGTTTGACTATGATCGTCCTCAGTTCACTTCCTATGCTGAACCGTCTGCCTATGCTGATGAGGCGTTGGAGAACGAATACAAGAGTTATGTACGTCGTAAGCCCCGACCAGGACCACCTTCTTATGGGGAAACACCACCGCCGGAAGAGGGATATGGGTATGATAGGCCCAAGCCTAATTATGGGTTTCAGCCTGGTGGAGAGAGTGAGTATGGTGGTGGTCCACCTGGAGGGTTCGTATCTGGAAGACCCGAATATGAGAGGCCTGGGTCGGAGTATGGACGGAAACCAGAGTACCAGGAACCGTCTTCGGAGTATGAATCCGGGTATGGGCGGAAGCCACAGTACGAGCAACCCAGTTCCGAATACGGATCCAGTTATGGTAGGAAAACTGAGTACGAGGAGCCGTCTTCGGAGTATGGATCCGGTTTCGGACGGAAACCAAAGGTCGAGGAACCCAGTTCTGAATACGGATCCGGGTATGAGAGGAAACCACTATACGAGGAACCCCCATCTGAATACGGATCCGGTTATGAGAGTAAACCGCAATACGAGGAACCCCCTTCTGAATACGGATCCGGCTATGGACGCAAACCGCAGTACGAGGAACCCACTTCTGAATACGGATCTGGGTATGGACGAAAGAGTGAATATGAGGAACCTCCTTCAGAGTACGGATCTGGGTACAATAGAAGACCCGGGTCGGAATATAGTGAATCTGGGGGTTATGGAAAGAAGAGTGAGTACGAGGAGCCAAGTTCTGAATATGGATCCGGCTATGGGCGGAAGACCGAGTCTGAAGAGTATGGATCGGGTGGGTATGGAAGGAAGACTAACTACGGGGAAGAGAAAGGTGGTGTGGGCCATGGGTACGGCGGAAGGTCAGAGAGGACTGAGTATGGAGAGGAGAAGACCAGCTATGGGAGGTCCGAGGAGGAGGAATACACAAAGCCCAGCTATGAAAAGCGTGATGATGAAGACGAGGGCTATGGCCGCAAGAAATATGTGAGCATTTCTCTCTTTTCTCTTCCTTGTTTTATTTAACTTAAATCTCTTTGACAAGAATAAAGTAGTATTTGTTTTAGTTAGTCTAAATGGTTCTATAGTTCAATTGATTGATTAAGATATCCATAAGCAAATGCGATCAAATCCGATGCAATAAATATCCTGGTTTATAGTCTAGCTTAAAGGAATTAGATGGCTTCTTTAGCTTCATTACATCTCTTTTTGCCTGCTTTGGGATTACTTTTGGAGAAAATGAAATCGATGTATGTACAAATCTTCTTTCGAAAATGTAGTTGATGCTCAAATCGCTGGTGAGAAAACATGTATTTTCCATGTGATCCATTTTCCATTTGCCGTTTGCCGAGCAATTAAGAATGTCCAACCCTAGTCTTTTCCCAGCAATTAAAAAGAGGATTTTGATTAACACTAATGAGGAAAGAGCAAGTGAGCTGTTGACTGCTTACTATGAAAATGATGGATTATATTAGAACTTGCATACTTTCTAGAAGACACAAGGTTTTGTTTATTTACTTTTGGCCTTGCTAACTTAAGTTTGAGTGGATAGAGAGAACTTGCATATGTGGGTAACAACATGATTAAATGATTACCAAATTATTTCTTGAATTATGGTGCAGAACTTTTCATTTTTCTGATCACGTCTTCTGCCACTCGCAGGGTGGTGAAAACTCTGATGAGGAGGATGAGGAGAAGCGTCGCCACAGGCACCAACACCACCGCAAGCATTATGATGATTAAGCAAAACTATTATGGCCTTGTGGAGAGAATTCTTGCCATATTAATAAATTAAATAAAAGGCAGGGTTATTTCGCTTCAAAGCAGTCTTGTCATTGTGTTTAAGCATCTTTGCTTTTTATGGGTTTGTTCAAACTAAGATCAGCAGCTTTGTATTGGCCTTGCTGGCCCAACTTGTGTGTGAAATCTTGTGCTTTTTCGTGCTAATGAATTCCCCTCTATAAGGCAGTGTGTCTTAAATGCTTATTCGTTCATTTGCTGATGTTGTTTACTTGCATAGACGCCTCTTTATTCCATGTTATTCCAGTGATTGTGCTTATGCCTTTGGAACCTAAGCTTATGTTTTGCCACTTTTAAATACTGAGCTATGTGCTGAAAATGGCTGGCCTCATTGCCTGGGAACTTTGTTTTGATTGCTTGGAAGCAACTGGTAGAATACCATCAAATTCATACCCCATCTGCCTCCACGGGCATGACGCAGTGGTAAAGCAAGAAGGTTCTATACGGAGCATTAGAGATTTGAATCCCTGTGGCAACTGAAAGGCAACATTTTTGTTGGAAGGCAGTTGTCTTGTAGAAGTAAAGTTATGGCTTCGGGAGTTGTCCACACATAGTAAAGAGAGGTTTACAGGGAGGAGAATTACATCCTGAATGTCCGGTCCAAGTGTGTAACTGTGACCACTTCGAATTTACTTGGGTGGTGAACTAAGGGGAAATGCCGTCACTCCTCAGGATTAGTTAGGCGAAACTTGGACACTCGAATTATCCAAAAAAAATTCATACCCCATCTTACTTTTAAACTTTTCTTCTTTTCCTTGGCTTCTGAAGTCTCATAAAGTTTTGTTCCACCTTGAAAAGATGGGTTGAAGCTTAATTTCTTGTTTCTGGCCACATTACGGCCTTGATCGGTGAAAAAGATTACTCTCATATGGTAGAAGTTTGCTCGACCAATGGCCTGCATTGTGC